AGTCAGAGCAAGGCTTTGGGCATGTTTTTTATGAGAGTATAACATTATAACATGATATAAAACTCAAAAAAGTTGATTTCACATGATATTGCCCCTTTAAAACCTAAATCAGACCTGCCAAGCTCAACGAAACAGATTGGATGTATGTAAAAAAAAATAGAGATGCAAAAATGAAATTAAAACAGCTCAAGTGCAGGAGAAGCTAAAACTGGAACAGCAAACATTAAAGCATCGCTGATTAAGAGATCTCTGCTTGTGGCACAGCATGAGGTGAAATAATTGCATTCATTAGCTCGATTTTCAAACGATGACGTACGGCGACAGCTGAACGTGCCCTGTCAGGATTTACTACCCACCCCACCCCCCCACCCCCATCTTTTATCGTGTCTGGCTATCAGGACCAGGTCGTACCTCTTGAACATGCCCATTCTGATGAGGGTGGACATCACCGACCCGTCCGTCTCGCCGAAGAACCTCCCTGCCTGTCAGGAAACAGAGACAGAAGCTGAGCAAACACCTGCGATGATTACCTAACGAGTGGAACACGATCGACGTCAGCATCCAACAAACTGAAAACAACTTGTACAAAAAAATAAAAAATAAAAAGGGCAGAAAACACTCAATTTAATTTAATTTTAAACTGGCTTGAGTTGACATCTTTGCATCATTTAACTGCGTTTCTTTTAACTGAAACTATTTCTTGTTTTGCGTGCAGCACTCCGACCACCAACAGTTATTTTTAAATGAGCTATTTAAATTTTATTATTCTTGTTTTTTTTAGATTAATAGTTGCTTTTGTTSCAGACTGGACATCTACTGAGGCTGACAATGTAGTTCACAGAATACAAAGAAGAAACTCTCAGGAAACGTCCACTTTACTAAGATGTACTAAAATATATGTGCATTTTAAAATTCTAAGTGTATAATTGTTTGGAGTAGCTCTCCTTAGTTTGAATCCTCGCCTATGATTTAATGACTAGTGAGAGGTTCAAAAGCTTTTAAACAATCAAGTCAAAAATTTGAAGAGCACTTCAATTTGATCATCTCCATGAGTGTGTGTGTGTGTGTGTGTGAGAGTTTGTGTGTGCAAGCTTACATCACTCCGCTGTTTAGAAATTAGGATGAAACCATTATTGTCAATCACGTAGCACTCAATGTCCTGAAACCAGAGACAGAGAAACCAATTAGCTGCGAAAGCAAAGATTTTTGTCTTCCACCTGTAATAACAAGATAATAAACAGATCATTTCACTAATCCATCACACATGCGCTCAAAGTGACAGCTTTTGTGGTTCCAAACAGCAAATGTGCAACGACACTGGGCTTGATTTGCAGTTCAATAATACGACTCTGTATTGCAGATGTACTCACAAATCTGTCACAGCGAAGAGGACATAACCCTTCCACAGCAGAGCACTGAGAAAACAAAGAGAGAATTATTGTTTGGGGGTTTGTGTGAGTGTAATCTGTGAGAAAAGAAGGGCATGTTTGTGTACACGAGGACGTCTTTCCAACATGCTCTGCCTGTGGAGGCGTCGAGCTCGAGCATGTGTCGCTGTCCACGAGATACATAAAAATAATAATAATAAAATGTCTACTGTGGTGCGAATTTATTAATTTGTGTGCGACGTGACGGGAGCGCGGACCTGCCATCGTCTCGTGAGCGTCGTGTTTGAGCATGTTTTCTGTCTGCGTGTTTACGACAGCCTGAGTGTGTGTAATCTGATTCATCTGGGGTGTGAAGCTGATTTCACAGAGCGCAGCGGGAGCTCGAGATGACAACTTTGAAACTGTCAGAAAAAACTAAATAAAAAAACTGACGCTGTAGGAAATAATGGGAGCATACTTACATCTGTGTCATTCGGCTGAGGAAACAGAGGAAAAGAAAAATACATGAGGTGAAATTAGCATATCTTGCATGCCAAACATTTAGACAAAGATCTCAAAAAAGTGCTTAGAGTATTTGCTGGGGATGATTCTCAGCAACCACACCAAACTTTAAATCAATATCTATAAAAATACCTGATTTATAGGCATTTTTATGTTTACTAAAGTCAGTGAGCTAGGGTTGTGTATTGGCAAGAATTTGGCGATACGATACATATCATAACAGAGGGGTCACGATACAATAT